GTCGCCCAATAGAGCTGGGGAAACATTCTTCCTGGTGCTCCTGCTGTGAAGAACTTGGCCGCCAGTGTGGGACGTCGCCCATCTTGGATTTTATGTAAATTATCAAAGCACCAAATTTTAATGTCAAGATATAGTGTTTTTATTATGCTGTTGTTTGTATGCATATTTTAACTTCGGCATGGCCATTTGTTAGCCGCCCCGAGCTGTATATTGGATGGGGCAGGATATAAATCCCAAAAATAAATAAATAAAAAATAAAAAAGAACACACACCCTCTTCCAGTTCTGCCCCACAGAGTAAGCATGAATAACCATAGCCCCCCTTGCCCTGCAGATCCCCAGGGGCCATCACAGTAGTCTGGTTATCACCTCTCATTCCCCAAAAGAAAAATACATCTTTTGGCTTTTGGAATCTTGAGAGTTAAGGCTTTCTTCTTTGCCCAGGAGACCGGTAGAAAGCAGCAATCCCACCATGGGAATATGCAGATTGGCCAGGGACAGTCCAGCCTCCCAGGCTCAAGAAGGTAGCTGTACTCATTCTACAGGACACCCTGAAGTCTTCATGAAAAAGCAAGTGAAGGGTGGGAAGGGAGCTACCACAGATGATGGGAGTGTGTGCGCGCATGCACAGTCACAGGTATGGCTAGGCTCCACAGACCTGTCTGTCAGAAATGGTGCCTTAATGTACTTACCAACAGATGATATTTGACATAGTAGTGGCTAAGCCAAAAAGGGATAAGTATCCGAAAGAAAACAAATGTCCCAGCACGGTATGTTTTGAACACCTAGAAATAAATTGCTCTTATTAGTTGTCTAAACTTTCAATAGACACAACACAAGCTAGGCAAGAAAGGGCATCATTGAGTTCTACTTGTATTCTGCTACTTCTCTATTCCAGTTGCCACAAGAATAGATCATGCTCTTGCAGCAGCAGGTCAAAAATCCACTGCTTTAATATACTTTCCATTATTCACTACGGGCAAGCGTGCTTTCCATTATTTCATATGGGCAAGCATACTTTCCATTATTCCCTATGGGCAAGCGTGGTTTCAATTATTCTCTATGGGCGAGCGTAGTCTCCATTATTCCCTATGGGCAAGCGTGAACTCCATTGTCCTCTGTGGGCAGGCGAGGATGCTCTCCAGTAGTTCCTATGGGCAAGTGACGTGTTCTCTCTCAATCCCTATGGCAAGCATTGACTCCGTTTTCCCTATGGGGAAGTTTGGTCTGTATTATTCCCTTTGGGCAAGCGTGGACCCCAATATCCTCTGTGGGCAAGTGTGGTTTCCCTTATTCCCCACGTCCGCATGTGGTCTCCCTTATTAATTGTGCGAAGCGTGGACTCCATTATACCCTATGGTCAGGTGTGCTCTGCTCTCCATTATTCCCTATGGGCAATCATGGATTCTCTGTTGGCAATTATGTCCCTAGGCTATGAGCAATCATAGATTCTCTGTTGGCAATTATTTACTGCACTGTCCCCTCTGGGCAAGCCTACTCTCCATTACTTCCTATGGGCAATCATGGATTCTCTGTTGGCAATTATGTCCCTAGGCTATGAGCAATCATAGATTCTCTGTTGGCAATTATGTACTCCATTATCCCCTATGGGCAAGTGTCCTCTCCATTATTCCTTATGGGCAGTCATGGATTCTGTATTGGCAATTATGGATTCTCTATTGGCAGTTATGTACTGCACTATCCCCTCTGGGCAAGCGACCTCGCCATTATTCCCTATGGGCAATTATGGATTCTCTATTGGCAATTATGGATTCTCTATTGGCAATTATGGATTCTCTATTGGCAATTATGGATTCTCTATTGGCAATTATGGATTCTCTATTGGCAATTATGTACTCCATTATCCCCTATGGGCAATCATGCATTCTCTGTTGGCACGCATGTATTGCCTATGGGCAATCGCTGTCCACTCATGTATTCCCTATGGGCAATCGCTTGTCCTTAGTTTTAGTACGTCCCCTGTGTTGGCCCTACAAAACAACAAGGAATACTTTAAAAATGCAAGGCAGAACCTTTCAAAGGAGCTTCAAAACGTTTTGGGGTCAGGATACTGAAGAACAACCTTGGATATTTCTTGCAGGTAGAATTGTCAGCTGACCAAGAAAAATAAAAACCTAGTCTGCTCCTGTTCCTTTAACAGCAGCTTAATCTGCAGAAATCAGCAGTTGAGCTTTTCACCATACAGTGATAATCACCTCCTAACCAAATAGCTATTAAAGCTACAATAGCTAGTTAAAATGTTGGCAACCAGATGTCCTTTAGAACAGACAAACTAGGAGGAAAATGGAAACTGTCACCACAGGGAAGTCTATTTTGCTTCATCTTCATAGACCTTCAGAAATACATTTTTGTCGTTGAAATAACGGGTATTAAGGAATTTGGGGGATTTGGACAAAATTTTGACTGATGGTGCTGTGAAATTAGTAGTAGCAGCTGTAAATCAATTTTGGGATAATTGTTTTAAACTTGTTTTGTGGATTTTTTAAAAAACTTTTCTGGCCATGATCTGGGAAATTTTTGATCAGAAGGTAGAACAGAAATATTTTAAATAGTTGATGTACTAACTAGTTGCTAAAATTGCCCTCCATGTCTGATAACTAGGACATTACAGATGTCACACCAATCTTTTTTTTAAAAAAAGGCTTCTAAAGGGGAACCAGGAAATTACAGGCCAGTTAGCCTAACATCTTTTCCAAGTTAATTAGTAGAAACTGTTATTAAAGAGAGAGGCTGTGGCTCACCAGCAGAGTACCTGCTTGGTGTGAGAAAAGTCCCAGGTTCAATCTCTGGCCTCTCCAGTTACAAGGCACAGGTAGGAGGTGATGTGAAATACCACAGTCTGAGGCCCTGGAGAGCTGCTGCCAATCTGAGTAGACAATACTGACTTTGATGGACCAAGGGTCTGATTCAGTATAAAGCAGCTTCGTGTGTTCATCATGTTTGACCCAAGTGAATCTGCAATTCCATTTTATTCAGTAGCTGGTTATGCTGAATCTACTGATTCTGCTAGTGGCAGAGGGGACTGTGCCTTAGTAGCAAAGCATCTGCTTGACATGCAGAAGGTCCCAGGTTCAATCCCCCACATCTCCAGTTAAAAGTTCTGGCAGCAGGTGATGTGAAAGACCTCCGCCTGAAACCCCGGAGAGCCGTTGACAGTCTGAGTAGACAATACTGACTTTGATGGACCCAGGATCTGATTCAGTACAAAGCAGTTTTATGTGTTCAGAGATTTATTCAGCACACAGAGGAACAAAGCCTGCTGAGGGGAAAAGCCTTTGCAAAGGGAATTCTTGTCTCTCCAGCATTTTGAAGTTCTTTGAGCTGGTTAACAAAGCATGTGGCTAAGGGTGAACTGACAGACTTTTGGGACTTCCCCAATGCTTTTGACAAGATGACCACACTAAAGACTCCTGAGTATGCTTAGCAATTATGGATAGGTTAAAAATTTGTTAAATGACAGGAAGTGGAGAGTGGGAATAAATTGACAGTCCTCACAGTGGAGGGAAGTGAGCGGTGGGGTGCCACAAGGATCAGTTTGGGGGGCCCACAGAATGCTCTAGGGGGCATATTCCATTCAAACAGAGCAACCTCACTTCTGGTCCTCCACATGAGAGTATGGTTAAAATCAGAGGTAATTTCGGGGTGCAAGGCCGCCGGCGGCGGCCGGGACCGTTGGGGGCGGGGTGTGTGGCCTTATGACACACTTCCGGTGATGTCAGGGGGTGTGGCCTTATGACACACTTCCGGTGATGTCAGGGGGTGTGGCCTTATGACACACTTCCGGTGATGTCAGGGGGTGTGGCCTTATGACACACTTCCGGTGATGTCAGGGTGTGTGGCATATGCTAATGAGTTATGCTAATGAGTTCCCCTAGCTCTTTTTCTACGAAACGACCCCTGATTAAAATGCATCCCACAGTCTCCTGCAGATGCATGTTCTTGGGGGAAGGTCATTATAGACAAATTTAGGAAAGCATGGCTGCAATTACTGATTTTTCCCCCCCATCGAGGATCCGCTGAGAAGCTTTCACACAAACCCAGGGCTCCCAAACTGTTATAACCACTATTTAAAAAGCATCCTCTTTGGAATATATTGCTCAGAGCAGCATTTTGGTGTTGTTCCCATGCCAGCCCAGTTTAATCCAGGGAGAAAATATTCCCAATCACAAAGCTGTATTCGGAAACAAGCATGTTTGAAATTGTTAGTTTTATTCATCTTTCAGAAAGCGGTAAGGCTTTGAGTTTCACTGAGGATGGCATGACTTTTACGTTCTTCCCCACGGTGCTTTTAAATAAAAATGTTTCAACACAACAGGAATCTAGAAGCATTTCCTGTGTACTATATTGGGCCCAACTTCAGCATATTCTTCCTTGGAAATCCACATCTCCTGGAAGGCAGAGAGAGAAGCAAGAATGGAACCTCCCATCCAGACAGAGATCTTCCTGTCAGGGGGTGCATTGACCATCACCTCCGTGTCCTTGGGAGCCATGCGAATCAGCTCCTTTGTCAAGCGGTCAGCAATGCCAGGAAAGAGACTGGAACCACCAGAAAGGAGCACATTGGCATACAAGGTTGTCCTCAAGTCGATGTCACATTTCATGATGGTGTTGAAGAGGAGTTTATCGATTCCAGGGGCTTCCACGCCAATGTTAGATGGACAAAAGAGGGTCTCAGGGCAGTGGAACATTTGGTTGTGGACTTTAATGATCTGTCCATCAGGGAGCTTCCAAGTTTTCTCTAACTCATTAGGTCTTTTAGCCATGTCCTCCTCAGGGTTCAGACTCACATAGCACAAGCCCTCCTTCATGATTCTCACAATTTCCCTCTCAGCTGTGCTCACTAAGGCAACTCCACTTTCCCTCAGTATTCTCATGAGGTAGTCAGTGAGATCCCGTCCTGCCAGGTCAAGCCGGAGAACCGCATGAGGCAAACAGTAGCCCTCAAAGATTGGTACTGTGTGGGTGACTCCATCTCCAGAATCCATCACACAACCAGTGGTGAGGCCTGCAGCATAGAGTGCCAACACAGCTTGGATGGCCACATAGATGGCTGGTGTCTCAAATTTTTCAAAGAGCAGTTTTGTCATTTGCTCACGATTGGCCAGTGGGTTGAGCGGTGCCTCCGTTATCAGTGCTGGTCTTGTGCAAGCGTTTAACTTCAATTCGTTGTCATAAACGTGCCTCCATATTTTCTCCATGTCTGGCCAGGATGTGACAATTCCATGTTCTACTGGGTATCTGTTGCACATTAGTTAAATTAAAAGAAAATATTGGTATTCAGTTACTTGGTCATGCAAAATAAATCTTAGCATTATCCAGTCACACATTCACCATTCAAAGGTACTCACTAGAAAGACTTAAGAACCTTTTTTTTAGTAACAACATAAATAATAAGAACTTCACAGATATTTATTATCTATCTGTTTTATCCTACCCTTCCTCTAAGGAGCTCAGGGCTGCATATATGATTTCTGTTTGGACCTAACAACAACCCTCTGAGGTAGGTTGGAAGGTGATTCATTGTTACACGGTCATGTAGAGGACACACTGGCTGCCTATATGTGGTCCATAATGGGAATTCAATTCCCAAGCAAGTGTGGGCCCAGTTGGATCAGGCCACAGCTTGTGAGGAGAAGATGCTTCGGCCTTCTCCTCATGCCGTTTTCCTGACCTGAAATGGCTCAATGGAGCCGCTAAGTGCTGCTTGGGAAAACGTACATGTACTGATGGTCATATGTAAGTTTCCCTCAAAAGGACAAATAGGAATGTCCCCCCCAAGTAGGTTTTTGCCAATGGCAAAAATAGTGTGGGGGAAGGACTGCCACACCTTTTTTAATGTGTTGTGTTCCCAATTGAAACTGTGCACAACACAGACCACACTTAGTATGTCAGACGAGACAGGATTGCATTATTAGTACCTCACAAGAGAGGTATCAGCTCCTGGGCCACCATCTTAAACACAATGTGTTAAAACAAGTCAAACTGATTTGAACGAATATAATTACAAGGGATATATTTGGATAGGGATAAATATCTGGGGTTGAAATGGAGTACAATTCATACAAGAATGCTCCTGATAACCATCAGCCCATAGAAGCTGTTTTTAAGCCCTCCCTCCCCAGTACCTTCTGTGTAATTCTTTGAAGGGGCCATGAGATTTCCCAAACCAATTGCATCAGAACTATAACACTGCAAAACTGGGTATTTTTTCCATCTTTCTCTGTTTGGTGGTTTTGTCTTTTTTGTTCACTGAACAAATAGTAGAAATGCCCTTTTCATCTACAGGGTTGGCATAAATAATTACATTTAAAGGCTGCCAGAGATGGGGTGTGGTGAGCCTCCCATGGGGGGGAATTCCAGAACTATATCAGTGCTATAAATAAGGCCTCTCTCTTGTAGCCGCTTACCGTCAGATGATGAGAGCACGTGAGGAAGGACCTCAGATGATGACCTTCCAAATTTTGTTCAGTTAGAAGTGGATTTGCACAGTAGTCCTATTTGCGAAATACATTCTTATCCAATGAGCACTCCTGCAATTTTAGACTATACTTTTGGCACAAAGATGATCGTAAATTTTAGTTTTTCTAGGGTGAGTTTGTAAGGTCACATAGAATTGCTTCTGAGGCACCTGATTCATTTTTATTTATTTCCTTCATTTTTATCCCACCTACCCCCTTTCTTCCCAATGGTGACCCAGTGGCTTACAACTTTCTTCACTTCTCTATTTTATCCTCACAACCACCCTGTGAGGTAAGTTAGGCTGACAGTGTGTGATTGGCCCAAGGTCACTCAGCAAGCTTCCGTGGCAAAGTGAGGATTCGAACCTGGGTTTCCCAGATCCTAGTCCAGCACTTTAACCACTACCTCATGCTGGCTGGCTCTGACCACTGATTTTTTTTCCCCATCAGCTGGAATGTTCAGATATTCACAGTTTGGGGAGATACAAGCGCATTTTCACGATGCTTCAGCTTGTGTTAGTTCCTAGAGGACCATGCTGCTAATGTGAAGTTGCATGGGACTGGCATGATCCATAAAGGAAGTTTCCGACTCTTAAACTGAGTGCCACAGCTCCCAGTTAGCAGTACAGAAAGTTAGTCTCTAGAACCAGTTCTAGGTGAGCTTTCATCTCTGGATAAATTACTGCATAAATAAACAACAGTTTGGTATGTCTGGTATGCAAAGGCTGATGAAATGCTGTGCTCCCAAGACAGGCAGACATAGATGACCTGTGAATGACCCAAAATAAAGTGGGAGGAAGTTAACCTTGGGGTTAACTTGAAGGTCCAGTCAGGCTAAGCAGATGCACCTGGCTTGGGCACTGGTCCTTATCTCTCCCAAGGTCCAGCAGTAGAATGTGCTACTTATGAGTCGTTTTTAAGGACCAGGCTTGGCTGAGGTAAAAGATCAGAGGGGGAAATGAAGAAGGAAGGAGTAAGTGCAAATGTCTTCTGGAAGATTCCTGGGGTGGGGGGGACACTTCATTGGTTGAAGTGTGTCATCCGATTATGTAGGCCAAATCTGCAGCACATATTAGACTCTTCAGACTAAGGACTAAGTTTGTTCTAAAACATCTTTTCTCCTCCTAGTTGTTTGACCCAGGGCATGGGCTTTATTACAGTCCCTCAGTGACTTTTGGGTTCATCCCAGAGCACATAAGACACTCACAAAAGCCTTCCTCTGGAACCAGTTTAAGGAAGCAAAATATAGCTAGCAACCTCTTGGTGTCTTATCTTTATTTATTTATTAAACATTAAAACTCCAAAACACAATATAAAGCCATAACTGCTCAGAACATAGCTGTAATAGAAAATGGCGGCATTCTTTCAGCATTTGAATGGTCGCCTATGCCATAATCCAGGCTCCTGCCAGGCTGTTTGTAGTGTATTGAAACGTCTTACATGAATCGCCGCATTGACTCCCCATGTTAAGCTCGAGCCAGAGGAAGGCTCCTTCGAGCTAACGTGCTATTGGTCGCTCCTCAACAGCGACCAATCAGAACTGCACCTAGTCCCTGCGAGGGAAGAACTCTCATTGGACTTTATCCGCTCAACCTCATTAGTTGTTTATTGTACAGAGGCGTGGCTATGTTAGCCCGGGAATGTTTAAAAGGAGCCTAGCTCCCAATGTTAAGTTGTTCTGGTTATGACTTCTACCAAGCGCTTGTTCGTACCTTCAATAAAGCTGTTCACTTTTGTTGAAATCACTCTCCGGATCTTTGTTAGCGGCGATCTAACACTGTTGGTCATCAAGTTGGTGGTGCCATTGGTGTTAGGGCCAGGGCCATGATGTTAAAGGCGGCCCCTAATTAAAAGCTTGGCGGAAGAGCTCTGTTTTGCAGGCCCTGCAGAACTGCATAAGGTCCCACAGGGTCCTGATGTCATCCGGGAGCTCATTCCACCAGTAAGGGGCAAAACTTGGCAAAAATCTTGGCAAAACTATGTCAACCCAACTGACTGGTGAATGAAAACTTTTTTCCCTGTGGAGTTTCACCATAAGGGTAGGGAACCTGGCTTTGGGTAACTTCAGGTAATAATACGGTGCCAACCCCACCCTTGGGCGGCAGCAGTTCATCCTAAAGCCCAATCCATGTGTCTCGACACATACAAATCTCTGCAAAGGCAAAAAAATGTTTGGGAATCTGCACATGGGTTGAAGGATTGACACATGCCTAATTTGTATGAGACTATGCTGGAAAACGGGAAGGTGGTTTTAAAACAGTGCAGGCAAATCTCTCCCCTCAAAAAACAAAACAAGACACAATGTCTACCAGTGAACATACTGGCAAACAAAGCAAGGGGAGAGAAGAGGGCTACCTGGGGTCAGGCACCCCGGTAGCAAGCCAAGCCTGCCTTTCTAAACCCATTGGGTGCCAACCTCCAGGTGGTGCCTGGCGATCTCCCAGAATTTCAACTGATCTCCAGACTACAGAGATCAGTTCCCCTGGAGAAAATGGCTGCTTTGGAGGGTGGACTCTACCATGGCATTATATGCTGCTGAGGTCCCTTCCCCTCTCCAAACCCCACCTTTGCCAAGCGCCACTCCCAAATCCCCAGGAATCTCCCTACCCAGAGTTGGGAACCCTAGCAGGGGGTGTGCCTGGATTGCTTGGGCAGAGGACTGAGCCCATCTGGTAAACAAAATGGTCTTTGGATACCCCCCCCCCGGGGGGCAACACTGTACTGACTCCAAAGTCACCACTGAAGGGCTATAAAAGGATGCAGACATTACAAAAAGATCTCGGACACACACACAGAAAGTGAAAGGAGGAGGGAGGAGGAGGAGGAGGAGATTGGATTTATACCCTGCCCTTCACTTGGAGTCTCAGAGTGGCTTACAAACTCCTTTCCCTTCCCCTCCCCACAACAGACACCCTGTGAGGTGGGTGTGGCTGAGAGAACTCTGACACAGACTGCTCTTACAGCTGTGCCAGAGCTTGTGACTGACCCAAGGTCACATCAGCAGGTGCAAATGGAGGAGTGAGGAATCAAACCCAGTTCTCCCAGATTAGAGTCCGCACACTTAACCACTAGACCAAACTGGTGCAATGCAATGCAGAGGGTGTTTAACAGCTCGGGAAGACGCACAGGGAAATAGATGGGTGCAGAAAAGCCCTTAGAGAGCAATTCTACACAGATCTACTCAGAATCCTAATCAGATCTATTCAATGGGGCTTACTCCCAAGGAAATATTCTTAGGATTGCACTATTAGGAAGGGGGACAGCTCTGGGCTGGGAAATACCTGGAGATCTGGGGGGTGGGGAAGGTGGAGGCAGGAAAAAATGTGAAACACAGCTTTTCACAGCCTGGATGGGAAATTAAGACTGGTAACCAATTGCGGGTGTCTGGCTGACACAGTGTGGGGTTTAAGGTGGTGAAAGAAACTACTCTGGGGCTCTCGAAAGGCACAAACCGTGGCACCACGCAGGAAGAGTTGCATCTGGGCCCTCAAGCCCAGGATGGCTTGGTCAGACACCATTTTGCCATTTTGGCCTCTGGACTGAAATGTAAAAGGACATAAGAACATAAGAGAAGCCATGTTGGATCAGGCCAATGGCCCACCCAGTCTAACATTCTGTGTCACACAGTGGCCAAAGCCCAGGTGCCATCACCAGTGGGGTCAGGACCAGTGTTCTCTCTAAGCTGAGTTAGTGTGAGCTGGCTCACAGTTTTTTATCCTCCGGCTCACAGGTTTTTGTCTTAGCTCAGGAAGGAGGGCTCCAGAGCAAACTGATTCATGCAGCTGCCAAATGGCTCGCTCACAACTTTAATGCCAGTCGCTCACAAAGTGGAATTCATGCTCACAAGGTTCCACAGCTTAGAGGGAGCCTTGGTCAGGCCCAGTGTTCCCTCTAAGCTGATTTAGTGTGAGCCAGCTCACAGTTTTTCACCCTCCGGCTCACACATTTTTGTCTTTGCTCAGGAAGGAGGGCTCCAGTCCAGGGCAAACTAATTTATGCAGTAGCCAGATCACCTGCCTGCTCACAACTTTAATGCTGGTAGCTCACAAAGTTGAATTTTTGCTCACAGGACTCCACAGCTTAGGGGGAACATTGGTCAGGACTCCAGAAGCCCTCTAGCAGTTGCCCCTCAAGCACCAAGAATACAGAGCATCACTGACCCAGACAGCTTGGTCATGCTTCTGAGCAAAACGGAATAACTTCAACGCTTTGAAGGTAAATCCCCCAGCTCATATGCGTGACAAGTCTTGGGATACCAATTTAGAATCACCTGCTGAGGACTGTGGCTTTTGTTCTACCTGAAGGAACAACTGCATTTGCAGAGGGAACTGTCCATTCTCCCCATTCTTCTAATTCCAGAAAACCTTTCATTCCAATTGACCAGTGTTTTCTCAAGGAGAACCATCAGTAATAAATAAATCAAATACGTCTTATTGCTCACAGATGACTCTGCTCCCTAACTTGACACTGTAGATGCCACAGGGTCACCAACGCCAGCTTGGGAAATTCCTGAAGATTTGAGGACACTGCCTGGGAAGGGCAAAGTCTGAGGAGTGGAGGGAGCTCAGCAGATAAGTGATGCCATCAAGTTCACCCTCCAAAACCGCCATTTCCTTGAGGGAAACTGATCTCTGTATGGAGAGCAGTTGTCATTCCAGGAGAACTCCTGGCCCTACCTGGAGGCTGGCAACCCTAAGAGGCCACCAACGTTGCCGTCATTTCCTTTCTGCCATGGTGTCATTCCTATTTCAGGAGCGGGTCACCCTAAGCTCACCCCCACAACATCTCATTTTGCATCTCTGGAATGGGCTCAAGTCATGGCTGGAAGACTGAAAGGCAAGCTGGAAATCAGTAGGATCGGGAGGGGGGGGGGGTTGTCCCCTCCTGTAAATCAACAATTGTTTAAAATTAGAATGTGGAATGTGGTACTTCTGAAGTGAAAAAACTGAGTCCTCTCTCTGTGTTGCTCTTCTCCCTCACCAGGACCCTGCTCAAATGTTACACAGATATTGTTTTATTCCTTTACAATAACATGATGTGCCCTGGAAGCAAACCCACCGGTGTTCCATATTGATATTTCTAAGAAGTCTTATTCTACGGTCTGATACTAAGCAGAGTTACACTCTTCTGAGTCCATTGAAGCCAATAGGTTTGGTGGTGGTGGAAAGTGTCAAGTCACAGCTGATTTAGGCCCCGGTCACACTGGCCGGAAAATGCGTGGGAAAGCGTGGCTGTCTGCCCCAGAACAAAGTAACGCATGGCAGCCCGGATCAGACGCCCTGTCGAGGTCCCGTGGTTAGGCGTTAGGTGCTGATCAGACGGCTAGTCTGCAGCGCGGCAAAGAAGCAGCATGGCGCGTTCACACCGGCAATTGCGCCGCGCCGCTTCTGTGGCAAACGGGACTTTTTGTTTATCTCACTTAAGTTTGCGCATGTGCATGATCGTTTGTGCGCATCCTGTGGGGATTTTAAAAAAACAACTCCAGTTTGCAAGGGGACATGGGCGGGCGCCAGATGCCATGGGATTCCAGCGGAAACGCGATCAGATGCCCGCCCTTGCCCCGGGTTTTGCGGAAACCAGTACATCTTAAGTACTAGTTTTTTACTCCACATCATCGGCGGGAAGCCATGGGTTAGCCACAGGAGCACTACGCTTCCCAGATGTTGCGGTGTGATCACGTCTGGAAAATCCGTCTATCATCCGCATCTTTAGCGTGGCAAATGTTCCGTGTGAACGGGGCCTTAGTAGGGCTTTCAAGGCAAGAGGCTTTCAGAGGTGGTTTGCTATTGTGTGCTTCTGCACAACATCTCTGGACTTCTTTGGCGGTTCCCCGTCCAATTAGAAACCAGGCCCAACCCTGCTTAGCTCCTGAGATCTGATGAGATCAGGCTAGCCTGGGCCATTCACATCAGGCATCAGTGGATTTAGGTAAAGGTAAAGGTTCCCTTGCTCGAAAGCCAGTCGAATCCAACTCTAGGGTTGCGGTGCTCATCTCCGTTTCCAAGCCGAAGAGCCAGCGCTGTCCGAAGACGTTTCCGTGGTCATGTGGCCGGCATGACTAAGCACCGAGGTGCACGGAACGCTGTTACCTTCCCACTGAAGTGGTACCTATTTATCTACTTGCAATTTCTTGCTTTCGAACTGCTAGGTTGGCAGGAGCTGGAACTAGAGATGGGAGCTCACTCCGTCATGCGGCACACTCAGGTCTCGAACTGCTGAACGACTGACCTTCCACAGCCTGCAGTTCAGCATCTTAACCACTTGAGCCACCGCACCGCAGTGGATTTAGAAGAGTGTAAATCAAGACTGCCCTACTAGCCCTGACCTGGATAGCCCAGGCAAGCCCAATCTCATCAGATCTCAGGAGTTAAGCAGGGTCAGCTCTGGCAAGTATGCGGATGGGAGACATCCAAGGAACATCAGAGGCAAGAGGACGGGCAGGCTTTATTCAGCCACCTCTCTGAATATCCTCCTCAGTCACTAGAGGTCGCCATGAATTCCAGGTGCACACACACTCACATGTGCATACACACACATGAAAAAAACCCAAGACTACCCTACTAGTCCCTTACTCCCTTGCAGGGGAAAAAATATTTAATTCAACATATTCAGTGCACTTAGTACAACCCTCATCTCCCACTCTGCATCTTGGCTACCGTATCAACACTGCCACAAGTAGATCAAGATGAGTAGCCGTGTCAGTCTGTCAGTAGCAGCAGAAAAGAGCAAGAGTCCAGTCATACCTTAAAAACTAACACAATTTGTGGTACTACTGGGCTCTTGCTCTTTTTGACTGCCACTGTCACAAGTAGATGCCGTTTCCCCCCCAGCTCTTATGCAAGGAAGGTAGCCTATCCTTGTTCTGTTTCCCAGGTTTCCTCCTTCCACATGGCTATAGTAGGCAGTCCCCCCACATATTCCCAGTACCTGAGAGAGAGGATCCCTCGCTTGGCTTGTGCCTCGTCTCCTATGTAGAACTCCTTCTGGCCAGCGCCTAGCATCACAGACTTGGCCTTGGCCCGCCCTATCAAGTTGGTGAAGGTGGTCCGTGGTTCCTTGTCCCCAGCAACGCCAGCCTTGAGCAGACCTGAGCCATTGTCTATTACGATTGCTGGTGGCAGCTCACCCATCCCTGGGTGATGAGGGGTCCGTGCCTGCTTGTTCCTGTGCTTGACCCTCAGTGGTCCTGCCTTATATTGGGGGAAGAGTCAGCCTAACAATCTTCCCAGGCATATCTGCCTTGCTCTATTGTGACCTGGGGGTTGCTATGATACCTTTTCATCCAACTTTGGTGAGGCTCTGACTGTTTCTTTGCATAAGAAATCTTGTGATGGAGAATTTCTGCTCTTCCTGTGTACAGCAGGAGTTAATACTACAAGACTATGGTTGCCCCAATCTCTTAGCTGGGAGATGAACATAAATATGAATTGGTGGGGTGTTGCCTTCATACTCTGCCTCGTTGGCCATTCTGGAGAAAGTAATGTTGGACTGGATGGACCATTTTGCTTTGATCCAGCTGGGCTCTTCTGATCTTCTTACAATGTAGAAATGTGTAACTATTTGAACAACAGCCTCCTTGATCTCCTCGTTTGCACACGCTGGGGAAATGTCCCAACAATATTGTCATTAGCCTGCTAATAGTTTATGATGGGTTGGAAGAACAGACACACTAAGCAGAGAATTCTAGAGTAACGAGAGCTGGCAAGTTTATTGAACTCAACTTGGGCTAACGAAAGATTCTCCTTGCATTATAACCCACAGATTCAACAGCATAATCAGGTTTGTACATTGGGTTGCCAAGTCCAGGTTGGGAAGTTCCTTGAGATTTGGGGGTGGAGCCTTGGGAAGGTGAGGTTTGGGGGTGGGAGGGAGCACCGCAGGGTATAACGCTACACAGTCCACCATCCAGAGCAGCCATTTTCTCCAGGGGAACGGATCTCTTTTGCCTGGATAATTCCAGGAGAGCTACAGGTCCCACCTGAAAGTTGGCTACCCTAGTTGTACTTTATGACTGGCCACATAACTCAACAGCGGCTAACAAGATGCACTGCTAAGATGTCTGTTCATGAATCTCTCGTGGGCTTAAAAAACAACAACAACGAATCAATTGCAGCCACAGATCCCTGATTCAGATCAAAGCTCTGGCACCTGGAGGTTTGTTTTTTAATCCTTTTCCTCAGTCGCGTTTTTACTGATTTCAGTCTGTTCCTAGAGTTGCTATTTGCCATATAGGGGGAACATACAAGTACCTGTATGGGACAACTATTCTTTAAACGGTAATTGCTAACTTTTAATATGATTACAAAGAATGTGGCAAGAAAGACCTGATGAAATTTCAGACGCCATACAGGCATTGAATAGGATTTCCAGTTCAAACAGAGTCCTGGATTGGTTGACTGTATAGTGGCAGAGATGAGATAAATTAAGCAAAATTAACTAAATGCATATATTCAGGTGAATAGCTGTGTTGGTCTGAAGCAACAGAACAAAGTTTGAGTCCAGTGGCTCCTTTAAGACCAACCAAATTTAATTCTGGGTATGAGCTTCTTTGTGCATGCACACTTCTTCAGAAAGCACATGAAAGCTTATACCCAGAATTAAACTTTGTTGGTCTTAAAGGTACCAGTGGACTCAAACTTTGTTCTAAATCACCTAAGCATGTTGAGTGAAGGTTTTATCTTAACTCCTGTAGATCAGGGGTTTCTAGTATAAGGATTCCTGTTTCTGGAAGTATCAAGGAGCTACATGCACAGGGTTATAAAATATATGTGCTTGTTGGTAATTTGCAAAAGATATACTAGCTTTGCAGATTTCATGTCAGCACAAAATAATTGTTGTGTCAAACTATAATGAGGGAGACCCACATTGCCCGGGGGGGGGGGGGGATATGTGTGCAAGCACTCAGTGGGCATGCAGCCCACAACCCCCAGGGCAACTTTGGGTCAGGAACATGGGGGAAGGGGAGGCAAGATTCTCTCCTTCCTCTGTGCCATGGTCCTTGTCTGTATTGAGCCCCTCTGGGGCTTCCAAATTGTTAGCCCCTCAGGAGCTGTCATATGGCAATGATGTGGTAGATGGAACATGTAGTTTGGGGAGGGGCTGTGGCTTGGTGTGCAGAAAAGTCCCAGGTTCAATCCCTGGCCTCTTCAGTTACAAGGAACAGGTAGGAGGTGATGTGAAACACTGAAGTCTTAGACCCTGGAGACCTGCTGCCAATCTGAGTAGACAATACTGACTTTGATGGACCAAAGGTGGACCTCCTGATGGCACTGGTATTTCTGGCCACTGTGTGATACAGAATGTTGGACTGGATGGGCCTTGGCCTGATCCAACATTGGCATCTCTTATGTTCTTATGTTCTTATGTTAAAGGTCTGATTCAGTATAAGGCAGATTCATGTGTTCATGTGTGTGACCCAAGTGAACCTGCAGTTCTGTGTCATTCAGAAGCCGGTTATGCTGAATCTACTATGTTTGCGACTGAACAGAATATGGTTCATCATCAACCCAAGTTTGTGTATGAGTGAATTATATGACTGACATCAAATACCTTACAGGGACTAATCCTTTCAAGTAACCTAGCACTGAGAGCCAGTTTGGTGTAGTGGTTAAGTGCGCGGACTCTAATCTGGGAGAACCGGGTTTGATTCCTCACTCCTCCACTTGCAAATGGCTGGATGACCCTGGAGATCTGATAAGAGCTATTCTTGAAAAAAGAGCAGTTTCTGTCAAGAGCTCTCTCAGCCCCACCTACCTCACAGGGTGTCTGTTGTGGTGAGGGGAAGGGGAAGGAGTTTGTAAGCCGCTCTCAGACACCTTTGGGTAGTGAAGGGCAGGGTATAAATCCAATCTCTTCTTCTTCTTCTATTATATTAGCTTCATAAGAATATTTGAAGAGCCCTGCTGGATCACACCAGTGGTCCATCTAGGTCAGCATCGTGTCTCACACAGTGGCCAACCCCAATCAGTTCCTTAAGCCATTTTTATTCATTTACTTCATTTATATCCTGCCCTTCATCCACAAAGCAGCTTACACCAGTCCCCTGTCCTCTAGGGTTCCCAAGTACCTACCTACGATCTGGCGGGGGACACATGCTTCCCCGCCGGAAGATTCTTGCTTGGAACACAGGTGCTGCACTCTTCTGTCACCCAGACGTGACGTAGGCATGTAGCTGGGCAACGCTCTGGTAATGGGACTGGAAACTCGATGGTACCATTGAGTTTCCAGCTCGATTGCTAGAGCATTGCCTGGCTACGTCTGGGCAATGGAATAGTGCAGCGCCTGTGTTTTCCCCACGGGAATGGTCCCGCAAAGAACTATGCTGAATACAATAGCTTTATACTAGATAGTTACTATAAAGTATACAAAATTTCCCCAAATATTTACAACAATAAGAATACAATAGAATGTCAGTGGCTGCCAACAGCCCCAAGATAACAGTGGAATTCCTAAACAATTACTGTTGGCAGTCAAAAAAGTATAAGGCTTAATGAGCTAAAAGCTACTGGAGCTTGACGAAGCAGCCGGCTTACACTTGGTTTCGTCTAGTGACTTCCTCATAAGCAGCTTAACTGATGTTGTATATAAGTTTTCTTAATATGTGTATTTTCCTTGTTTTTAAGATACTTCTCTAGAGTTGCTACCTTTAATTAAGGGACTAGTCCTTATTTCCTTGGACCATATCTTCTATGGGACCTGTCCTTGATAGACTAAGCTTCGTAGCCAAAGGTCTCTCCGTCTTGCAGGCCCTGTGGAACTGGCCCCAGTTTTGTTTTGTTTCCTTGGCTGTGTGATTACTGGGAGGTCTGTTTTGTTTGGATTTGGCCCGCGAAGAACTATACATCCCCCGCCGAATTAAGGTAAGTGCTTGGGAGCCCTGCTGTCCTCACATATCCTGAGGATAAAATGCAGGACTGTGCCCAGCACTCTGCAAGCAGGCCTAGTCAGGTCTCCTCTGGAGCAGTGCCCTTAGGTCTAGAGAGCAAGGCTTAGGAGCAACAGCTTGCACCCAGTGGATTCAGCAAGGCAGCCTTCCCAAGCCTCAACCTATAGGGTTGCCATCCTCCAGGTGGGGCCTGGAGACCCCCTGCTTTCATACCCAGTCTCCAGACTATAGAGATCAGCTCCCCTGGAGAAAACAGCTGCTTTGGAGGCTAGACTCTATGGCAGTGATGGCGAACCTTTTAGAGACCGCGTGCCCAAACCGCAACCCAAAACCCACTTATTTATCGCAAAGTGCCAACACAGCAATTTAACCTGAATACTGAGATTTTACTTTAGAAAATACAACTCATACACTAACTTAAGATGATCCAAACAAAGTAAGGAAAGCAATCCCAAATGCTTTCATTTACTTAAAATTATTTGGCAGAGAATTCCACGCTTTAATGATGGTCTGGGTCTGGCTGGGGTGATGTCACCCATGCCCACAGAGAGGGCTTTGAGTGCCACCTGTGGCATAGCTTCGCCACCACTGCTCTATGGTATTGTACCATACTGAAGTTCCTCCCCTCTCCAAGCCGCACCCTCTCCAGGCTCCACCCCCAAAATCTCCAGGTATTTCCCAGCCCAGAGCTGGCAGTCCTATCAACCTAAACGGGCTAGGAGGTAATGAGACTCAGCTGCACTGGGCAGGTGTTGAAGCTCCTGCAGCTGTGTTGTGCTTTGGCCCAGATCCTGCAAAGAAGTATCACTTCCACGGCATGGTTCTTAGACGGGGTTGCATATGCCTCTTATCTAGCACTTTACCTCATTTGCACTGTCTCAGCCCGGGCCTTCTGCTACTGCCATTCCTGGAGGGTGGGAATGGGCCATGGGAGGCTATGAGCCCGGGTTCAAGATCTGCTCAATGGAAGTCTGGTGGCTATCTCAGGGGCCGGAATGGGGGTTCACTTGCAAGCTTTGAAGGGGTGGCCTCAGGCGCTGCTGGCATCTTGTCAGCCAGCACCTCTGCTGTGTTAGGCTTCCCCTGGTCCTCACTGGCCGGGGGACTTGGTTTCTTCGGCTCTTCCTCTGAGGACTCTGCATTGCCGGGCTGGTTGGAGGGGGTCATCATGACTGGCCCAAGGTCACTGTTACAGTAGGAAGGGGAAAATGGTGCCTCTCCTTGCTGGGAAACTCCTTTAGACCT